TTGTACTCAGCTGGTAACTACAGTTCATAATTTCGCACTAACTCTTAATTCCGAAAAATAGGTAGATGCAATTTTTATGGGCTTTGCTAAAGCTTTCGATACGGTCTCTCACAATAAATTAATCTTCAAGTTGGATTTAATTCTTAAGAATACTCAGCTTCTAAATTGGATTTCCGGTTATCTTTCGAATCGAAAACAGTACGTCTTTTTCAATGACCATTGTTCTCGTACAGTACCGGTTGACTCGGGTGTTCCCCAAGGCTCTGTGCTCGCACCCCTCCTCTTTTTATTGTTTATAAATGATATATCACATGATATACCTGTAAAAAGTTAAGTTATATGCGGATGATTGCATCCTGTACTCGGAAATAGTAAACCATACTGATCAAATTCATTTAAACGATGCATTTCAAAAGGTCATTCGTTGGTGCGATAAATGGCAGATGTTAGTTAATTTTAAAAAGACCGTTTTCATGAAAATTTCTCACAAACGTAACACTCTTCATTTTTGCATACTCAGCCGATAATGTTTTTTTGCAGGAGGTACAACACTACAAGTACCTTGGTCTTTGGATTTCGAATACCTTAACTGGACGAGACATATTAACACTGTAATAAGCTCGTGCAATTACAAATTATTTTATCTTAGACGAGCTCTTAAGCACTCCACTCCCGCCGTTCGCCTTGTTGCATTTAACGCAATTGTTCAACCTACTTTAGATTATGCATCCATAATTTGGTACCCTTACACTAGAAAAAATATCAGCGAAATGGAAAAATTCGAAAGAGAGCTGTTAGGTTTATTTATAACAGTTTTGGTCCTACTTCAATAACATGTTTATTAGCAAAAGCTAACCTCCCAACACCTACGCAAAGAAATAAAGTATTGAGATTGAAATTTTTCTTTTAGTTAGGTAAAGGATATTTTAAGTTAGACTTATCACATATACTTCATTTGTCTACAGGATATACCACAAGGCAGAGGCATGCCTTTACAATAACCCCATTTTCCACCCGTAATAACACATTCAAGTATTCGTTCTTCCCTAGAACAATTACCGAATGGAATAACCTTAGTAACGAAGTTGTTTCCCAGTCATCCTGGAACCTTTTTGCTGCGCAGCTCTAGCAGCGAGTGTCTAATTTCTATGACATGTGCTCCTGTTGTTTATTTCAATCACTGTAACCATTCTCCACTTGTGATCATCTTGAATGTAGCGCTCATTTCTCTATATGTTCTTATGCCGGTTTAATACAAACCACTGTTCTTTTCTTTTGTTCTGAAAGTGTGTAAATGCCTTACCTGTTTTATATTTATTTGTTTGCCGATTTGTAAATTTATCAAAGGTATATCCACCCTGCCAAAACCCTATGTTTGGGTTGCAGTATTCATAAATAAATAATAAAATAAAATTTCATGGCTTGTCGCTCAATAAAAATATTGCAACACGATCATCATCCCTCCACATGCTTCGCATAAGGTTGATTCCCAGGTAGGTTGGATCGCTAATTTTATTTATTTATTTATTTATTTATTTATTTATTTATTTATTTATTGACTTATACATACTGTCAACCCCCATAGAGGGTCATAACAGAGAGGACAAACATAAAGCATGTACAATGTACATAAAGCTGTGTAATATTTCGACTATGCACAATGAAAACTGGTATTCTCCTAAATAACAATTCAGCATTTAAAATATCAATTCAAGAACAATTCAAAATTCACTGTCACTTTTCAAAATATTTACTATGAACATGAAGTCGCTTATATCACTTGGCACTGAAAAAAAATTATTTCAACAATCTTGTAAATGCGCCTCTATAAAGCATTTTCGAAGTCAGTAACATCTTTTAAAACAACAATACTGTTTGGAAGTTTGTTCCACCGTTCTATGACATATGAAAAAAAAAAGAATATTGAAACGCGTCAGTATTTGTTCGGCATGGTTTTAAGACGTAGTCGTAGTTAGTTCGCGGATTTCTTTTGCCTGGCGTATTTGGGAGAATACTTTCAGCCTATATTTATTTCTACGTAGTTCAAGAGGATCTACGTTTGGGTGCACGTGAAACGAAACAACATGCATTGTTTCTATTGTGTCAGAATACAATTCCTGCAGTTATAGGACGTTTGCATGAAAAGAAAAGTAGTTCATAGGCATGTAAACTTTTTGGTGAACAGTGACTTTTATTACGTGCAAACAATCGAAGCAGGATTATACCGGCATCATGCGAAAATTGTGACAGCAAAAAATACAAATTATGAGGTCTCGGTTTGAAGGGCCTCTTATTAGGCCCGAGAACCCGGCAGCCGACAGATACGATGAACCGAGAATGATTATTATCATACACGAAAACGATGAGGATGCATCATCAACATACTTGACTCAATATTCTCCTTGACTCAATATTCACTTACCAAAAAACATACCGTCACTGACGGTAACCGCCAAATTGCAAATACAGCTTTCGCGCTAACTTCAGAAGTCCACCGTCAGCCTTTACATATCTCCATGCCCCCTTTTAAAATGTTTTATTGGCAACCAGGTGAAAGCTATCTAGATTCTTCTTGCGATCAAAGTATTGTCTGGGTAATAAAGTAAGTTCCCAAGTTTTCAAAAAGAAGAAATGCATACGTCTAACAGCTTAAAGCATTACACATACAACTTTGTTTTTGGAAGCATGAAAGCTGCATGCGCACAATTCTCTAGGGAAAAAAAACAGCAACAACAAGGAAACTAATCAGTTTGTCATTGAGTGCACACCTACAGAAATACCTCTATCCTCGCAAAGAACACATGCGGGATCTTCACGTATACGAAGGAAGGCGCTCACTGTCCAGGTATGGCGCATCCCCCTTTTTGTGACGGGAGTCACGCGAAGGCAGCTGTTGGATGATTATCCGCAGTTTCAGCGAACTTCACTTTTCATTGAGTGCGTTCGCTCATGGTGCGGCATCGTTGAAACAGGGTGCTTAACCTCATAAGTGGAACGCGATAGCGTAATTCACGTCGCCTTCTCAATCGATAACCTGACTTCAATTGTCTGTCGACACCTCAATCATGCCGCAACTAAAAGGAACGTCTGTGGGAGTAACAGCGGTCATTGAAAATTACTCTAGTATGCCTACTGCAAGTAACGTTTCCGCTTGCTTGCTTGCTTGTACCCGTGTTTGGCTCGTGCCCACTACGAGGGATTGGCCATTAAACCGGCGGGTAGTATAGTGGGAGAAAATAATTTAACATTTTGAGAAAGGAAAATCAAATATTGAGTCACAAAGGGAATATAAAATTGAATATTCATAAGGTTACGTAAGATTAAAGTACAAAACTATTATTTGAAAAAAAAATCAATAAATGAGAATTTAAATGTACTAGATATTTTTAGGAACAACCTAAAAATGCATCATCTTGTGTCTATAAGAAATTCGCAGACTTCTATGCAGATGTTCCTGTCGCTGTGGCCCAGAGAAGAAGCCCCAAAAGAAAAGGATATTTTCAGAATTCAGGGTAGTGCATATTTTCTGACTAAATTTCTAAACATTCCTTCCTATGGCTTGTGAAACGTCAGCGAGTAAGTAAAAAATGATTGATGTTTTCAGGCTCTTGACAATAAAAGCAAGGGGAGATGGCACCTGACCGTGCCAGTACAAGTAAAAATTAAGAGGCAGCGTCCGGCATAGGAGAGATGTGGCTATAAGAGGGAGAAGAAAAGCAAAGTGAGCCCCGTAACGGTCTGCATCAGGATGCGACACCTCGAAAGTAGCTCAGAAAGGATGGGGGGGGGGGGGGGAGGGATTAAAAGGATAGAATTAAATGTATAGAGAGAGAGATGCGCTGGAACAGCGAGCGAGGATATATCGAGGGGATAGGAAAGATGGAAACATGGTCACAGAAGTCCGAGGACGGGGCACCACTTGCTAGAGCTCTTGCCGCCGTCAGGAGATGGCGTAGGGCAAATCCAGTAGGTCAGAGCTACGCTGACGTCGGAGATCGCGAGGGCACAACCGGTTGGCACGGAATCCAGTGAGCGAGCATAGGAGAAACACACTTCCAATTTGCAAGTGGGGCACCATTTATTATCCGAAAAATTACATGTGTTCAGGGGACTTATCGCATTACATTACCACGGCCACTGGATTTTGAAAAAGCGAGCTTTTTCATCCAGTGGCCGTGACATGACATTTGTTTTGTTGTTGTCTTTTGTCTTTTGGAGCGGGGGAGCAGTTTTAAGCAATGACTTGGTTCTGCGGTAGATCGAGAACCTGCTTGTACCTGTGCAGAATGCATGAGTACAGGTTTCCACGCAAAATTGACATTTAGTCAATTGGATATATTTCGGCTTTTCGCTCTCGGACAACGCTAACTTCTCGCTCACAACGAACTACACGCAGACAAAGAATTTCTGTGAAACGAGCTCTTTAACGCTATCGAGTTAAAAGTCGGCTGATATACGGAAGAACAACCAAACACTAAAAAAATATTAGAATTTCTTCCCCCGAAGAGTAATCGTAATCTGGCTTGCTCATGCCTCTCTTCTTGAAAACATGGCTTTCACCATTTTCTTATCATGGACGCTACGTAACACAGCTAGCGCGCACGCCATTTCATCTTGGTAAGGGCCGGAACACAGCTGATAACGCAAGGGAAGCAAGTGAGACATGATTATAGTGACGTGGCAACAACACTCCCCAAAATGATCAATTTTCTTAGAGAGGATATTCTGCGTGAGCGTATACCCCCCCACCCCCCGCCTCTCATTCCTAATGGACACTATTAAAACACATTTAAAACACTAAAATATGTATAAATAATAAAATAGAACTGTCCTAGCCGAACACACCAAGATTGTTTAAAACTATCAATGTTGCGTAATTTAACTGTTTTTGAGTAACACTACAGTCAGACACGTTGATTGGGCTGCACAGTTGGGCAAGTCGCTGGCTCGCCGTCGGCTGCTGGGCAGGTTGAGCAAACAACCCTGCCCTCCTGCCTCCTACTATTGGCCTCAAGAGGCTCATACGAATCTGTACGGGGGAGCAAACGGGGCTCAAGTGCGAATGCTTACAGTAGTACGGTCTTCCGATTGGATAATACTGGTTCCAGTGCACTGGGACAATGACTGGAGCCGCACCAACGCACCAATAGGACAGAGGACCTGCAGTAAGGTGCGCCGGTACTTTTGACTGAGGAGACAGTAAAGTACGAAATTTCCGGCCGCATTCAGTGACATGAGGAAATTAAAAACATTTCCCAAAATAAAGACGAGTTTTTCCTGCTCGCTGCCTTCTTGTAGGTTCCCGATAGAAGTGTAGAGAAGCGTGATGGCTGTGGGCAGCTGGCAAAAGAAGAAGAGAATGACCACCGCAATTAGCATGATCGTGATTTTGCTCTCCTGGCTGTCGCGGCTCGGGTCTGTTCTCAGAATCAATCTGGAGCGCTGCTTCCGCGAGATGTGTACGGAACGTACGAGAAGCGCATTGAACACGGCCAGCAGACAGAACGGCACCAGAGTGAACACCACCACTGTCGTCCAGTAGTAAGTCTTTTTGTACATTTCATTTCGGCCAAACTCCGAATAGTTGAGGCTGACTCTTGTCACATTGGTCACTGGGTCTTGCTCCTCGACCAGAGCATATTCGAACGGCGTCGGTAGAGCAAGGGCGAAGCAAAAGAGGAGGACCCCCATGATGGCTTTCTTGGCCCGCGACTCGGTGCACAGCACCCTGCTCTTGATAGGGTGACAGACTGCGATGTAGCGCTCCACCGTAAAAGTTGCCGTGAGCCACACGGAACTGTTGCTACATGTGTCGGTCAAAAGAATGAGGATCGGGAAGCAGCGCAAGTATACGGACAGGCATTTTCGCTGTATAACCTCATAGTGCTTCAGTGAGAGTGTGAAGCCACCCAACAGGTACAGCGTGTCGACGGTGGCGAGCGCGGCCAAGTAGTTGTTGGTGGACGAGCGCATCCGCCTTCTGGTCATGATGACGATCGTCAGCGAGTTTCCGATGACACCGATGAATGTTACGATGGGTACGAGCACACGCTGTATCCAAAAGCGGCTGCTTTCCAAGAACACATCATACGAGGAGCCCTCGGCAACCGGATCTGTTGCGAACGACGCTTCAGTAGAATCACATCCCGAGCATGCGATGTCCGAGCTCCGATTTCCATCATACAGGTAGAGGTGTACCTGGCCTTGCGTGCACATCCATGCAGGTGCCACGTCAGATGTAGTGCAGTTACGAAAATACGTCATCAAGCTGAAAAAATAAATAACAAGAGTGAGCCCTTTCCCAACTTCTCTGCATTACAATTAACCGCCGAACTGTGTTGTCAGTTTGCATTATATTTTAGAAGCCGATATGTGCGCCCCAATACATTGCAACTATATATGTCGCACAAACGTATAGTAGAAAAAAAAAGGAGCAAAATGCGTAATGCATATCAAACAATCAATCAATCAAAGAAGTTTATTTTCACCAAAAACAAAAACATTTACGGTGAAAAAAGGTGGCCGGAAAAAAAGCTGTCCAATCACAGCTTGACAAAGCCCCAGCCGCCTATCGGTGGCGAAACGACAGGGTACAGCACCTGATAAAATTGTAGAAAAAATGCATATTAATAGTCGCTAAACAGTAACAAATTGATAATATAATGCATTCCCCACGGGCGCAGGTGCACTACCAGGTCAAATGGACCTAATTATACACTTGCTTTATAAAGATAAATAACGAGAAAAAACGAAAAAAACGAAAAGAAAAACAAGGACAAAAACAAAACAAAAAGTAAAACAAAGCCAGAGAAGAAGAAAAAAACAAAACATGGAAAGAAATACATTAGGCACTTAAAGTACATTAAAATGTACAATGCACAGTTATGTATTGATATGCATGCACATATGATTCATATATATATATACATATACACACACACACATATATATATGAATAATGAAGGAAAAAGGAAAACACAAATAACTTGCAAAACACGTGTATACTCCAATATTGGAAAAGGCAAGTTTGTTATGTGAACATACTTCTAATTTCTTTTTTTGTGTGGAATAAAACATCTGTTCCTTGCGTTTTGAAATAGTTTAATGTTGTTGGGACGATGTGTCGGGTACGTTGTGTTCCATAGTGTGTGCGTGAGAATGGAACGTGCCAAGGTGGTTGATATCTGACATGATAAGAAATTGCCTTTTGTGTAAGGTTCGCCAGTTTGAGAAGTGTGTCCGATTTCCCGAGTGCTGCCTTTTTGTAGCAGCACAGCAATTTGGAAGTATATAGATCTGATATTTTCACAATTTGATGCTGTTTGAAAAGAGGGGCGGTGTGTTCTAGAAAGGGAGCATTTGAAATAAGTCGAACCATTTTCTTTTGTAACACGGTCAGTTTTGACATAATAAGGGCTGTAGTTTTACCCCATACCAGGAAGCAGTAACACAGGTGGGAATTAAAAAGCGCATCGTAAAGTAATCTCTTTATTTTAGCTGGTCGTATGTGTCGATGACGGCTAATTAGTCCTACAGACTTAGCCAATTTCACCGTAACCGCGTTTACCTGGTCATACCATGACATGTGCTCGTTGAAAATGATGCCAAGTATTTTAACGCATTTTTCAGTGCGAACAGTGAACGGACCTAGGACAAGCTCCTCAGGTACTACAGCTGGCGTGCCGCGAGCACGATATATAGTGCACTTAGTTTTGGCTTCATTCAATACAAGGCTGTTCGCCTTGCACCAGTCATTCAGCTTCGAACAGAACGTACTTGCTTCAGCTTGAATGCTACATAATTCCTGGCCTTTAAAAAAGACAGTGCAATCATCGGCGTAAATGATGAACTGACAAGTGGTGTTTAATTGTAATACATCATTAATGTAAAATAGAAAAAGCATTGGCCCTAAAATACTGCCTTGTTGTACTCCACCTCGCCCCGCCGCGGTGGTCTAGTGGCTAAGGTACTCGGCTGCTGACCCGCAGGTCGCGGGTTCGATTCCCGGCTGCGGCGGCTGCATTTCCGATGGAGGCGGAAATGTTGTAGGCCCGTGTACTCAGATTTGGGTGCATGTTAAAGAACCCCAGGTGGTCAAAATTTCCGGAGCCCTCCACTACGGCGTCTCTCATAATCAAATGGTGGTTTTGGGACGTTAAACCCCACAAATCGATCATCAAATTGTGGTACTCCACAAGAGATACGCCTGAGACGGGATCTGTGTGTGCCTATTTCGGTAAATTGAAGTCTTTCGTCTAGGTACGAGCGAAGAAGTTGGGATGCAACTCCCCGAAATCCATAGCATTCCATTTTCTGTAAGAGAATATTATGATTGACACGATCGAAGGCTTTGCTGAAATCGAGGTATAGTCCTACTGAGAATGTTTTGTTTTCTGTGTTTTCTAATATGAGTTCTTTTTGAAGCAAGAGTGCGTCCTCCGAGGAACGATTTTTTCTAAATCCGAATTGATAAGTAGTTAAGAGATTAAATCTTCTACTAAAGCTCTCGATGCGGGTATTAATAACTTTCTCAAGGCCTTTCGAAAAAGCTGGCAATATAGAGACTGGTTGGTAGTTGGAGAAGCTATTTTTGTCGCCTCCTTTATGAATTACTGTTACTCTAGCAACTCGCATGCTACTTGGAAAAACGCCACATGAGATAGCTTCGTTAAATATGTGTGCGATGACAGGAGCGATCAAATCTAGTACGTACTTAACGGGTTTAATTACTAATCTGTCTGCATCGAAGCTATATACGACTGTTCCAAGGTCGGAAAAAAGAGTAATCACCTCAGAAACAGAAGTAGGCTGAAAAAAGAAAGACCGTGATAACCGTAGAACATCTACAGAAGTAACCGGGGAAGTATCCGCGTTTCCTATCTGGAGAAAAAAGTAATTGAAACTGTTCGCAAGTGTTTCCCCGCTTAGTAACGCATTATCAACCACCATACAGTCAACGGCGTCTGATACTGGCTTTATATTCAAGAGATAATTTTTTCCAGACTACGTCACTCTTTCATAGACATTGTCGAAAATTGTTCTAAAATATTCTTCCTTTGCTCTCGAAATGGCTTTGTTCAATTTGTTTCTGAAACATTTAAATTCCTGCAGCGTTTCGCTGTTGCGTGTCTTAAGGAAAGCCTCAAACTGCCTGTTTTTCACGTTGATCGATTTTAGCAAGTCTCGAGTGACCGGCGGTTTGCGAGCCCTCTTGCACCTATGCTATGCTTTAACTGTGAAAGAAGCGTAATAGCACTGTTTAAATATGTGTAGAGACTTATCGTACGCATTATTCACATCTGTAAGGGCCATTATTTCACTCCAATTAATGAGCAAAAGTCTTTCCCTAAAATTCTCAGGTGTACGCGTTGATATGTCTCGGTATGTTTTCATTTCATTTCGTTTTTTAGTCGTTGATTGCTGTTCAAGTATTAGCATCATAGGCAGATGATCGCTCAAATCGGAGATTATGACGCGGGAATTACGTTTTCAGAAACCGTGTTTGCAATGAACAGGTCAAGCAAAGATGTGGATGTAGTGGTAACACGGGTTGGCGTAGGGATTTCATTGCGAAACCCATTACATTGCAGTGTGATTAACAAGTCAACAGCAGGCGCTGAATCTTTCAATACATCAATATTCAAATCACCACCTATAGTTAGGGTATATGCATTGTTGCTCGCAAACGAGAGCAGTTATAGTCGAAAAAACCAAGAAACCCGCGTATGCTACCATGTAGTGGTCGATAAATGACCCAAAACCTTTGGTAGTCTTTCCTAACGCACAAAATCTCGTAGTCTTCCGTGGCAACAGTGTAGTCATCAATCAACTGAAATCCAGAAAAATTAGTTTGCAATGCCACACCACCTCCTCTACTTTCTTTACGATTTAGAAAGAAGTGGTTGTACCCGGGCAATCGCAGTCGTATTAGAATACACAGCAACCTAATTGATTGATATGTGGTGTTTAACGTCCCAAAACCACCATACGAATATAAAAAACACCCTATGTGGAGGTCCCCGGAAATTTCTACCACTTGGGGGTCCTTAACGTGCGCCAAAATCTGAGCACACGGGCCTACAGCATTTTCGCCTCCATCTGCAACGCATCCGCCGCAGCCAGAATTCAATACAGCGACCGGCGGGTCAGCAGCCAAGTACCTTAGCTACTAGACCACCACCGCGGGGCTGTGCAGAGCATTCTAAACTACTAATATGCTGAAGCGTTTCTCTTGAAGGAACAACATTACAACTGAAGCCTTTCAAAGAAGAAAGACTGATTTAATCAGGTGAGTTGTAATTTCACGATGAACCGCGAATGTTGTCTGCTTGCCGGGAAGCATCATGCATATATATATATATATATATATATATATATATATATATATATATATATATATATATATATATATATATATATCACGGAATTTGTCATTGCTAGCTTCCATCTTCCCCTTCCAGTCTATATATACAGTTAAGCTGAGTCGGAAGGAATATACAGTCATTAATATTTGTCCAGTGAGACGACAGGATCGCTTCTTAACTCAATACAATGTTGAAAGCCTTTGAGGAATGTACCTGCCTATTCTTCGTGGTATGTTATGTTTAATGTAAAAGTATGACATACAGGTGGAACGGGTTTTCTTCAATGACCAAAGTGTATTATAGAGAACTCTTATACTAACTGCTGGTTATGAAATGGCCGATTCCAAACAGATGTACCCTGCAAGTACTTCCCCACGCAGGACCGAGAATGGTACACTAAGTGACTTCATAATAACATTAAGAACGAATAATGCAGAAAGTACGTGTTTTAATCGGAACACATATTCTAAAGCTAGTATTAGGCGACATTGTTAGAATAATTTTGCAATTTTAGGTTGTCACTAGTAAGCCCGATAATCATGGCTGCCTCAGACAGGTGAACATCTTGCACGTCAGTGGGATAAATTGCGGCACGAACGGGGTAATTTTGTCTTGATAATGAAATAGCTTAAGGGTAGTATTAAGTGGGTTACTTACTAGGTGATAAATGTGGCAGCAAAAAACATGCACATTATAGCTGCTTACTTTCTGAAAGGTGCTTTTGAAGTGATGAT